AAGAGAGACAGATGACATTGAAAAGGCTGAAAACAAGGTCTGCCCGTAATTTTGAAGCGGTTAAATTGCAGGTGGGGCCAGCGTATTAACTCTGTGTCTTCTTTATTTCAAAGGCGCCTCTCAAGGGCTCGCGGAGCGTGGGATTTTGCTCACGACGACGACGACTCGGCTCTTTCAAGTAAGGAGTGCTCAAAAGATTTAACATGTTCAGAGCAATCGCATCAGTGGGGGCGTAATCGGAACCAGCCTTGGTTTCGGGACTCTATACCGATGGCTGAAGTGCGAAGCCACGTATCTCCTTCGCGGTGTTTCAAAATCTCCGCTCCTATTTTATTTTTCCGTAGAAAATCAAGCCAACATTATAGCTTGAAAATTATACAGAGTATTCCTTTGACAAAGGGGAAAAATAAAGGAAATTTTCAGGAAATTACGTTAACTAATTTTCCGAAGGAAAAATAAAGGATGACAGGAAGTCTGTAGCGTAGCAAGCGGGGATACATGGTTTAGCACTTTAGCCATCGATAGGATAAGATTCACTTTGAATGACCCTTATGGATAGGGTAGGTCCCCCCCCCCCAAAAAAAAAGGGACGTCCCATGCATAAGGTTGCGGCGCTGCACTGCCGTGCTACGGAAAAACGCCGTATGAACATTCAGAAATTGGCAAATTTCTCTCAGTAAAACATACATTTTTGACGACAATCATGCATATTATTCCTTGAAATTTTCAGATATTTTAGATTAAACTGCGTGCGAAATTGTCTGAAAATTTAGGGACAAAACATTCACAATTTGCCCATTTAATTCGTTTTGTATCGAAGGTGACTTGGCAACACTTAAAGGTTCATACGGCGTTCACGTTCTTCCTTAGCACGGCAGTGTAGGCCGTTGACGAAAGGACGTTAAGTCGTCGGTTGCCTGATAACTTTTGCGAGGATAGGCACGTGTGGCATTGTGGCGTTTGGGTGCAAGAGCGAAGTACTTGTATGTACGCAAAACATGAGGTTTTTTTAAAAATATTGACAGATTTATTAAGCGTACTGGACGCAATCTATTTATTGGTAAATGATCGAACATAAAAATTGCAATCCTTAATCTAGGTGAAGTTCGATTTATAGAAATGGGACTTTGCCTACGGCGTAGATTCTACCTAAGAATGACATGTGGACTGACTCGCTGTGGATGCTGTGATGATGATTTGAAGTCAGATGCGTAGTCAAAGGGTGGAGTCCAGAGGGCCATTTTCCACTGTGATCTGAAATTTCTTCCAAAAAAGTGATGTTCTGCGAGTTTCAGACAATTTCTTATCCTTAGTTGATTAAAATTTCGCATTTTTTGTCCCTGGTGATTTTTTAATTGCAGGAACCGATTCCTGATTACTTATTGCATGGAAGAACACTGAAACCACGATGTAATTATCCGATCCAAATTTTTTCATATCCCTTCTAGTCCGCGCTTAACACCTCATTCGCACAAGCTGGAGGAACTGCGAAAAGTAAACTTTAATTAAAGAAAGAAGCGTCGAAAGGTGAAAGGAAGGGAAAGCATAACCCCACTCCAAGAAGCGGAATGAACTCGATAATTGTTTTCATTCCTCCTTGTTATTTTTTTCGAGGCACACCTTCTTCCCTAACACTGCTCCTAGCTTTCCCAACGTTAAGAATTATTTCATGATTTTAATTTTAATTTCATCGCAGTGTTGATTTTCGAGCTTGAGAGGTGACCCCTTGAGAATCCGCAGAGAGCAGTTCCTCGAGACGTATCGACCCCGCAGTGAGTCGCCTCGTCTCTTAATTAAGTATTCTTGCGTGCAGTATTTGCGAGGCGTCCACTTCGAGACGTTTAAGCAGTCGTCCTTACTTACTTCACTTAGAGATCATTCTTTACCATTCACCTGACGAAGTTGCCGTTTGTTAAAAAGAGAAAAAAAACTCATTATTTTGATAACTAAAGAGCATTATGATTTTTAAATTGTTATGTAAATGGCAACTTGGAGTTTTATCATCCTTTATTTTATTTATCTGGAGGGAAGTATCTAAATAAACCGTTTAAGTATGTACAACTCATTTAATTGTTTTCATTACGTTCAGGCTACATTTTGACCTTCAAATTTGAAACCTCTCTTTTGGGTGTGTCTTAAAGGACGGCGGTATTAAAAGACCGCACGATAATTCAATTGCTCCTTCTCTGGGGGCCTTATAATTGCCAACGGTACCTGACGCTTCAAATATTTTGATAAGTTTCTCGACTTCTTTAGCCTAAACTAGTGATCATATCCATATTGAATTTAACTGGAATTTTCCTGACTTTAAATTCAAGCATACAAGCCCTGGAGAAAATGACAGGTGAACTGGCCTTTAGAGCAGATCTAAAACTACGTCAGTATCACGGGAAACTTATTTCCATGCGAATAAGACTGATATTAATCTTGAGCAGTATGTCTGATCAGCTCTCAGAATGATTGACCTCAGCACAAGCTCCTATCAGCACTGAGATCAATCTTCATGGGCCCTGACCTTCCACTGATTAAGATTGAAGTATGATTGATCTCAGTTTTTTTTTGTATTGACCTAAAGTATTATTTGACATTGACCTCAGTGTCAGATTTGTTAAAAGACGTTTGCTCTTGTAACCTATAAGAAAGAGAAGGGATGGGGAAGGGGTGGACTGCAGAATTTTTGGAACCACCGAGGTCATGAAATGATAAGGCCCTACTTAGTATTTATGGAAATTGATTGAAAAAAAAAATCGCGCTACAAGTCAAAAAAATAATCAAGTAATTTTTCAAACTGCTTATACATAGATGATAAATAAAAAAAAAAAAACTTACAAGAAATAGAGCAAAGAGTTTTTTTTTTTTATTTCTTTTTTATTTTGTAAAATTTTTTCGATGACTGTCCCTTACGCATTAAAGAAAATCGCAGTTTGTAGGTGGTCAAAACGTATGCTGTGTTTCTTGTAAGTTTTATTTTATTTCTCATCTATGTAAATGTACTTTGAACTAATACTTGATTATTTTTTGGCTTGCAGCTCGATTTTTTTAAACCAATTATCATGCTCTATATAGCTTAGCCAGCCAAATTTGGCATTAAAATGTAATTAGTTTTTATTTCATCAGCAGTTTGCAAATATTTTTCTGAGCTTGCTGAGGAAATTCAGAGCAACAAGCATGCGAATGCAGAATCAATAAGAATATGAATATCATTTACGACTGCTATTCTTCGTCTATGTACGTGCATTCCGAAAGTGCATATTTTGATTGAACACTTTATTTACGTAATTTCAAAAATGTAATAGCTGCATTTAGTCACGCTCGCATCGTAAATGTAAATATAGCGTCAAAAGATAAAGACGGTGAAACTCCCAAACCTCGTATCTCGGTTTGCGAAGTTGCAGACTTTTTCCGGTTTCGAGGACCGGCCGTAATACTTTTAAAAGATGCGTTTCTCGGAAAATTGGCAATGTTGTGATGAAGATCAGTAATGGTTTACTTCATCGACACAATGGACAAGGCTGGAATAAAGTTAAGGTGCTAGAGAAACAATCAAAGCTACGATTAGTGTCGCATGCGACGGACACTAAACGAATTTCATCATATCACTTAGATGCAACTATTCGGGCTCCATGTATGTCCGTGTTGCATATGTGCGAAATTGAAGGCGTTTTGACATCAGACACTAACAGCCTCTGGCCTCACCGGCGTAATGGCGCGGGCACTCAGTGAGGTAAAGTCAATGAGAGGAGTCATACAAACGCGGAAGGCTCAAATCTTGCTGCAATCAGACGCTGAATTTAGCACCTGAATGTGGAAGTCAACAGTCATCGCCCAACGGCTGAAATTTAGCAAATTCGAGTTATTTTCATCCAGATGTGTATCAAATCTACTCGAATAGTTCAGAAAAATTCAAAATTGGTCCGATGGTTGCTGAGAATCGTTGCTGAATTTTGCGCGTCACGCGCAAAATTCAGGCATCGGGCCGATGACTTCCACATTCAAGCCACATTCAGCTCCCATGCTCCCACATTCAGCGTGTGATTGCGGTGTCTGATTAAATTGGGCAAGTCGTCAGACGTATCGCTATACACTCAAAAAAAGTGGTCTCAGGAGCAATTTTGAGCTGTTCTCGCCGAGCGATTGATCAAGTTATAATTTCCAAGATGAAAGATGTGTTAAACGCACTCACTTAGCACAATCCCTCACATTCCTTGGGAGGGGCCAAGAAGGTTGGGGGGGGGGAGGACTTGCGCCCCTTCGGTCCCCCTAGTTCCGCCCTTGGGAGTGTGTGCATTACCTATCATTAAATGACACTCTAATTTTATTAGGCCGCAATCTTGAAAAACAATTAAGAGGCGCTGTAATAACCATAATGCCGGGATGCAGTTTTCCGTAGAGAAAAGAACTCCTGGCAACAATTTATTGCAAGGCAAGCGGTAATTAGCTTCAACATCAATTTCCTCCGTTAAACATTTTTTGGTGGAAAATGGGTTTTTTTAAGAATAACTAAAATGCAGGATTCAGTTCTCTCGCTCGAGGAAACCCTGCTGGTGGGTCAAGACTTGGTCAAGTCTCTTGCCAATATTTCAATTGCGGGGTTTTCGAGTTTTCGTTCTACCTAAGACTCAAATGGCGACCTTCGACTTGCACCAAAAAATTCCTCCTTTCATCCCCTTCCCATCGAGGAGTCATAATAGAGGGGGGGGGGGGTTTGCCGGATTCGCATTTGAAAAAAAGGGGCCAACCGCCCTCCCTAGCAGAAGCGCCAAAAGTAGCCAGCATTAACTCGTGAATCAGTGATTCTCTGTGCAAAATTGTTCTGTAGGTGGGTGGGGGAGGGGGGAGGGGGTATCGTTTCAAAATACGATTGAGGAAAAATCAGAGAAGGTAGGACGGACTTTTGGTACACCCTGTACGTGTGACTTCGTGCTTACGTCACGCATGGTATCGCATTGTTTACCTTTCTTAGTTTCCACTTTTAGGTTAGTTTTACATTATTATGGAGTTGCTCTGTTTTCCCTTTCTCAAGACATTTCAATTTTGGTGGAAATTTTAAGTTACACCTAGAATTATAGAACAGTTGCCGAAGCTGTTAACTTACTTCATATTGCCAATTCGATGAGCGATTAACTGCAGTAATTTTTTTGGTATCTGTTTGCCTTAGTGGAGTGAAGTCATAGGTAACGTTTGTGTTTCAGATTAGACAATAGACTCTCTTACTCGACTTACTCATTTTTCTCTCATGATATCATTGTACGTGCCTTTATGAACACTCTTATCACACTCTCTTCTGGATTTTTGGCAACCACTTCAATAGAACTGAGTATTTCACCCAGGTGCTCTTGTATTTGTCCAGCCTACGTATTTCCTCGTTTCGTGCGAAGCCAACATTATCGATCAGTTTATTGGTGTCCAGTGCAGAATAACTTTAACTTAATCGTCAACAGTGTTTAAAGGTGTTTTCTATCACATCTATAAATCTAATCTAATCACCCTTGATTATTTTTACCTTGGCTTGACATTTGGTTTATATTTCCAGTCCAATGAAGCCAATGTATTCCTAGCACATACCACTCTACACATTGTTCAGGAAAAGCTCTTTTTAAATCTCTCATCATCATCAGTATTTCTTTTCAAAACCAGAATATGGTTCAGCGACCAGTTGATAAACGCGGCTTGTTATTTATAGAGTTCATATGTGGTTTATTTGGTAAAAATAAAACCTACCGTGTTTGTTATGATGAAGATTTTAATCGCATCAGCATCCGATATAAATTAAATTTTTGCTGCCGAACAAACAGTGTCCATGAAGGGCGAAAATGCACAAAAGTCATAGTGATCCCGTCAAAAAAAATCTATTATGTAGATTGCATTCACGCTGATTGTGAGTACGAGAAAATCATAGGGAACTGGTCTCCAGAAAACGATGCAAAGAACATCCCTGTCGAATATTTGGAGAACCTTGACTCCTTTCTTGAACGTGAGAGGCTTAGCTTTGAAGCGCACATGAAGGAAGAGGAACATAATGCACAGATGGCAGCATTGGCAGGTAAGAATGGAAAATATGTTTCAACACTAGACTACGTAGTTAGATATCTATTTCAATGCAAAAACTAACTTCTCTCTTTATCAGGACCTGAAACCAAGGTCTTAAACTTCGCATAACTGCTGTAGCGCCGACAGATTGAGGTTTCTAAAATATTTGTATAATACTTAGTAACAAATTTGTCTAATATCATACTTATATAGTTGAATTTTTTTTTCATTAACACTCATCAGAGGGGGTGCTTCTTCTGTGTTAACAGTTTTCCTTGAGGAGCATGCACCATTAGTGGTGTCTCTTCTTCAGTGGNGTGGGGGGGGGGGGTATTGGTAGGGCTTGACATGAGGGGAAAGGTGGAAAAATCATCGGTAGGAGTTTGCCAGAAGCACTTTCGCCGTTTCCTAGATGAGGAGCCAAGCGAAAAAAAAAAAAAAAAACTTGTCATTTTTTGCCTAGTCCGCAATGATCTGAAATGACACCCCTGCTCTTCTTAGGAAGAAGGTGGACTCCTATGTCCATCTCCTTTTTTCGTGCGCTTCTGCCAATGTCTATCTTCAACAAGATGGTGCCTCTTGCTGCAGTTTCTTTTTTGAAAGAAACAAATTTTTAGTCATTAATTTGTAACCTACTGGTAGTAGCCACTAATTAACTTGATAGTTGGTATGTAGCCAAAAAGCTGAAAAATGTGCAAGAATTAACTTACATAAAAACTGTTTTATTCAATTATAATTTTAATTGAGTCATAATTGAATTATAATCAAATTACAATTGAACAAAGTAGTTTTTATGTAAGTCAATTCTTGCACATTTTTTAGCTTTTTGGCTATACATACCCACCTATCAAATTTTTAGTGGACACTTAGTGCACTAGTTTTATAGCGGTAGCAAGGTTTTCTTCTAACAAGGATTTATGTGAAGAGGTACTTCTTCGAAATGAAATAATTCTCTTTGAGAACCTCTTGACTCAAAGAGAACACCGCATTTACGAGGGTGTGCATAAAAATCAAATCGTCATTTTCTCTTCTGAATTTGAAGAGCATTGAAGAATAAAAACGAACGTCAATCGAACACTTCTGAATTGATACAATTTTCCTTGCCTTAATGGCAATGATTTCTAAGTGCACCAATCAATTTTTGGCAACTGATCGGAATTTTTTTTTTTTTTTAATTCGAACATTTTCTGAAGAAGGCAAAGCTGTACAACCCTGACGATGTAAAACGAATTTGCATTAAGACTAGTTTTACTTGAAATAATAACTATTTCATTTTTGTCAAAAACTGCTCTTATGCGCCTTGTCCTCCAAGCCCCTCAATTGTTAATTTTGTTTGTATCCTATGAATATTTTTTAAACAGATGGTTGGAAATGAATTTTGACTCAAACTTAAAAAAAATATTACAGCAGAATCGCTGCGAGTGATACCTAGGCATTCTTAGTTAGTTCTACAGGTGTGATGAGAAGTCTGTGAGTCCAGTAATGGTGGCGGATGTAACAAGTTTTATGCATATTTCACAGTGCATGTGGTAGACACGCTTGTCTTTGATCTAGTTAAACTCGCCCAGAAAGTAAGGCCAGCAGTCAAAACTTGGAAGAGTTTGACAGTGAGAGCATCGTTGCCATAAGTCAATCTCGATAAAATTGGCGTTAATGATACTTTTCTTGGAAAGAGACGAATCAATGTGGGATTCGCGATAATACTTACCTTCGTTTCAAACGTGGCAAAACTACTGCAAGCAACTATCACTGCTCTCAAGCCACGCACTGTGCCGACTCAAGTTTTTGAAGGCAAATTTCGTCCCAGGATAGAAACACTGACGGACTGTGATCCAAATGCAACTGCTATTGAAACCGGATTCACGTGGTCTTACCAATGCAAGCAACTTGTATTACCACCGCACGTTACTTAATCGTCCTATCAAGTTTTTAAATGTGCCTAAAAGGGTCTCATGTCTTGTTCATGCCCGCCTGTGCCGGTAGATAAAAATCCCTTAAAAATTGGACCGCGTTAAGCAGAAAGGAACCAAGCCACGTCAGCTATTGCCAAATTCAGCCAGGCAATATAATTTTTTACATGAATACGGTTGTGCGGATTTTTTTTGTAATTTTCAGTGAATTTTCTGCATACTACGAATTTTACTACCTTAAAATTTTGAAAATTTTCAAATTTTAGAGTTCTTCAGTATGAAAGGCCCTCATGTTCTGAGTTCATTTTTAATCTATGTAGAATTATGTCTTATGGGTATTGAATTTTTCCGATTTATTTTTATACGAAAATCCTCATAGTGTTCAAGTTTATTCGTAAGCCTCGAGATGTCTGACGAGACGAGAACAGGATATTTGCGCTAGGAGGCTTGAAACCTGGACGTATTTCTTTCAAACTGACCTAAGCGCCATAGGGTGAGGAATGTAGAGGGGGGCTTGGATTGGCGGCGGAATCGGGCGTCCGGCTTATTCCGTCCTATACTCGCAATGCTTTTCCATGGCGCTTAGGTCCGTTTGACAGAACGCGCTATCCGGCATTCTAAAATCCTCAAAAGGAACTCAAATTGGCGCTTAGTTACGTTTGATAGAATTACGTCCACCTGATGTTCGCGCGCGATATGAGGGGTCATCTGCGCGATTTCCAGTGGAGATATAAAGTATTATAATATTTGAAAAATAGGTCCAGCGTGTATCCGATTATCATAAATCATCCTGAGACTACCTCTGCATGGTACGACTAATGGTAGATAGGTGTTTTTTCTCACACGGTCTTTCAGACTCTTGTCCATTAAGGCTATATCTATAGACAGACCTCCCTTTCTCTTCTGCACTTCGAATACACTAGTGTATTTGGGCGTGCTACTACACTTTCGCCAAATTACTGAAAGCTACCTTCTTCGAGAGTTACGGAGATCGGAATGCCGTAGACTAGTCACTATAGTAGGAGGAGAGCGAGAAGTGATCAGTGGCGTGAATTGCGATGTATCGATTGTTATGCCATATAAACATATGGTAAAGAATCGATTATTAAGGTGTTCGCTGCGAATACCCTGTTTATCGATCCTTTTCCATAGGTTTAAATGGGGTAACAATCGATATATCGCAAAGCACGCCACGCCACTGGAAGTGATGATGAAGATTTATTTAAATCAAATATTTTCCACCGCCGTTTTAGTTCAATCGAAACCCGAAGTCGAGTCGAATAGACGAAAATTACGGAACAAAGGAACCCATGAAGAGCGGAAGGCAGTTCCCTTAACTTGTGCACGTGAGGCAGCCCAGGGTTTTGATATGATGACCCCATAAAATATTAACTCCTGCCGGTGTTCAATCTCAAGCGTTGATAAGCTCGTAAATTTCGAAATTGGAGGCTCTCGATTCATTCGAACCCCCCTCCATCCCCCCCCCCCCGGTCTCGGAGCCTGAGGGTTATGTTTTCCTCAAAATCTTCCAGTCTCCTTCATTTCATAACTGCGCGCCCGACGGGCAGGATTATTCGGAAATGGCGAGGCGTGAATGATCGATTATAGATATTTCCCCATTTGTAGCCATGGGAAAGAATCGATTAGTAAGGTGCTCGTTGCGATCACCCTGTTTATCGACTCTTTTCCATAGGTTTAAATGGCAGACCATTCGATATATCGCAAAGCACGCCACGCCACTGTTATTCGGTTTTGTGCTATACCGGACCGTGGATCATATAAATCGCATTTTTTGTGTGCCTTCAACAACATTGATACAATGTTTGGAAGAAGAGGGGGATAGTTTTAAGTGTTTGAAACGTCCAGAAATCAGGTGTAAGGTCGTGGACTGTTTCTTACTGGACATAATCTCAGGAATACGAGGGAGACAGAGGGTTGTTCGGAACAACCGGAATGGTGTAGTATGTATAAGTAAGGAAGTCCATGTACATACGAGTGGTCTGAATGGGAGCCAAAACCGAGGCCGTCATAATCGAACAGGGGAGCAAACACTGAAGAATGAATACACTCAACACTCGTAAATGTCTCAAGACCAAAAATGCGTAACCCCATGCACTGTAATGTTTCAAAATATCCGATTATGTTTTATTTCTTCGAATTAATCTGAAACACCTAAACCTAATATATCTCTTGAAATTGTTTGTGAATATTTTTGAATGTGCGTGGAAATTCATAAGTAGTTCAAGTAAAATCTACCGGTTAATTTTATTAAAAATACATACAATAATAATTACAATCTGTTATGTCCCGAGCAAATCATTTTATGTTATACTCTCAAGCGTGATGGATTAGTTGATTTTACACCGCTCTCGGGCGTTCGGCGACACTTTGCCGTCATTGGAATCTGCCAAAAGATTTTTTTATCTCAATTGTACATTTTTTGATGTATTTCCTCAAAATCGTGCAACATGTGGAATCTGCGTCATCAAAATGTCCATGTTCGAGGAATTAGAAACTAGTATTACTTTAAGAAGTGCGAGCTGTGTTCCCAAAAAGCCCAAACAGCCGCTCCTGCCAACCCCTTATTTTATTCCTAAAGAGCAAGGGAAGCTACCTACAACCCTCCCTTACCATCCCCAATTATTTTGCTTGTACCTTGTCTAGGTCCGGATCATCCGTCTTTATAATTTTTCGTGTCAACTCTGATAAATGAGGCTAGTCAAACCTCCCTCTCCCTGTACACCCTATCCTTTAGGTTCGACGTTCTTAAAATTAAGTCTTTCGAGGTTGTCACTGTGATCAACAAAGAAGTATGATATCCTTAGATAACGTAAATTCGTCGAACGCAGCAATCGAAAAACTAGAAATTTAGATTCGATCAGATTGAATGAGGAGGAGGAATATCTAATTTACATTGACCCAGGAGCTATAATTTGAAATTTAGAAGAAAAAAACTGTCACTAATACGCTTATTGTTCAAGAAGATGCTTTGACGACCACGATCATTAACTCTCGTCAACTACAGTTCATTCCCTGCGAATAAACTTGACACAGGATAGGAGCACTGTCAGGTGAAATAAATGTAGAAAAGATGCAATTTAAG